GGGGGGGGGGGAGCTGCTAAATATTAACCTTTATTGGAAAAAAATATTTAACTAATAAAATTTTTTCTGAATTCTCATATAGTGAAATTTGATAGATATAAAATTTATTTGTTTAATTTCATCAATTTTGCCTTTTTACTTTTTAACATTTAAAAATAGATTCTAGAATTTTGCATTTTTGCCAATGTTGGATATTTTTATTTGAGATTTTTAAACTATTTTGTTTTCTTCAAAGTTTATGATTAGTTCACGTGGATTTGACGGTTCTGTCAATATTCCAGAAAGCTGTGACTTTCTATCACAATTTGACCCATTACATATAATTTGCTAGCCTTTTCTATTAAATACTTTTTTGTTGGCATATGCATTTTGAATGAAAATGTATAACATAAACAAATCCGTAAAGTAAATGATTATTGAATTAAAGACCAAAACTCGTTTCAAATAGAAGAAACCGAATGCTGCTCACTCTGGTTAGTCCGGGGTGAGTTTATGTTCTGTTCTTAGTTCATTAAGCAATCGGAAAAAATAGGATGATTTTTGAAAACAACAAAATATGCAAAAACAATTTCATTAAATTAAATGCAACAAAACTGAACATTTTAACGAACACTTTCAAAAGAGCAATAAAATAAAATTTCCCAAATTTTGCATCTTTTAACAACTAGACTATATCTTGAATACAATGTTTTAAAAGTATTTGAAGCATAAACTGAGAACTGACGGATGAACATGAAAACATGTCAGACCACCTCAAAATTCTTTAAATACTTTGGTTAGGTAGTGTAGAGGAGGGGGCTGGGGGGGCATTATTATCATTATTATCATTATTATCATTATTATCATTATTATCATTATTATCATTATTATCATTATTATCATTATTATCATTATTAATATATTCATAAATATAAGCTACAGATGATGAATCATCTGAAGATAACATTACCTCCCTAACTACTCTTGCAATAATACTGGACAAATTAGTTTACTAAATCCTACACAACACTTAACATTAAAATGATAAAACAAAATAAAAGAATAAAAATTAAAATTATATTAAATGAATTGCTTACTTATATTATGTTCCAGGTATAAAAGAGACAAGTTGACCTGTCAGCTGACCGAGGCGAAGTTGCTGAAAGATATGTCGGACCGGAGACAGGAGCGAGTGGAGAAAATTCTTCTGAAAAACCTCGGTGAGCCAGTGCTCGCTTCTTTTAAAGATTATGTGGCGAGGCGAGAAGAGCTTCTCCGCTCCCAGAAGGCGTGTGAAGAGGCGGAGAGATCTATTCTTCCATCCGCCTAAACATTTATCCGCAAAGCATGAAATAATGTTTCCTATGATCTCCCCCTGCACACTGATCTTCCAAACCCAATTGAGTTTAAATCAAGAAAATTTCTGCGCTTTTTAACAGTAAAATATCTTTGTACATAGCGATACATAGTATATACGCAGATGTTCAGCTGTTGTTGTACACAAAACACTTATTTGTTTGTCTCTAGTCACACATGTATACTGTGATATGTACACATTCTTTAAAGTCGCCTTTAAAGGGACTATAAGCATAATTTTAGTGATCCTCCATGCAAAGATGGCAATGTACAATTTCTTCATTGCTTCATTGATTAAGAAATGCGCAAGTCACTTTTTCAGAGAAACAACAAATAAAATAAATCATTTTGAAGAAACAAAAACATCGAAATCGAATTCATACTTATTGATACACACGGGCAGCCGTAGTACATTTGAATTTCCTAGCCGGGTCAACCTTTCCAGTCCCAGTTTGTACTGTACCTAGCTCTATGGACAGGACTAGCCTGTGCAACAAGGTTGACGCGGTCAGACTTTATGCTTCATATAGGTTGAATTTACTTTTACCAAAGGGGCAGATTTGCGTGTTCAAAGCTTATAAGGAAACCGTAGTATATCGGACATTGCTATCTTTGCATGAAGGATCATTTGAAATTACGCTTATAGTCCCTTTAAAAGGAGTGTTTGTAAAAATGAAAAGGTTAAAAAAGTTAAGTCTTGCCACAAACTCAGATTTTTAAAATCCCTTATATCTTTGCAACCAAATGACATTGACCTTAGATATTTTAAACATTTAATTATCAAATAATCCAAGTTTGAAATGTCAAAAGTTTTAAGAATAAGGTTTTTAAGATACAGGGATTAGAAAATTTGAGTTTGTGGCTAAAGAATCAATTTTTTCAGGTGATTAGAAATTGATCGATACCATTTTTCTTTTTAAAGAAAAGTAAAAATGTCATGAAAGTAAAGACAATTTATTGAATATGGTTAATGATCCTTACCCTATTTATTGTTGTTCAGTCACTCCCTTTTTAAGTTTTTTTTATGAAAATTGAAAAAAAAAAGTTTTGGCATTCATACTCTTTATAATTATAAACAATAAAGAGAGGGATATGGGTTGATAATATCGTATATTTGAGCAAAATAATACACTCGTTGCTTCTATAGTTACAGAAAATTAACTTTATAAAAAAATCAAAAAATAATCTTATAGTTTTTTACTTTTATAAAGCAAATACAAAGACACCCATTGTTAAATTATTCCTCAATTCCTCATTGTGAAACCTAGCTTCTCATTTGCTTCCAGCCATAGCTAATTTATATTGTATTTGTCATTTCTGAAATTTATATTATTTGTAATAAATTTATTGCATAGTAACTCAATTATTGTTAACGATACATACAGTGATTTCTATACAGCTTTGAAATGGGAAGGCGATATTTCCTTTCTGTATTTTATTCTGTTATGAAGAAAGTATTTACTTTTTGAAAATTAACTTATTAAATGAATAGGTCTGTGAAAACTGTACAATTGCTTTATTTCACGCTCATATGACTTTATAATATCAGAATTTGTTAATTGACATTTGTTTTTTGCTATTCCAGAGTTTTCTTTGAATCAATAAACAGTGTTAATAAGAAAACTGTAGAATAGGATTATACAATATTTAAGTGCATTTGATGTTGTTACAAATCAAAAAGTTTTACTTTTAAGTTTTAAGCTTCTTAAATGAATTGGGTCTGTTTACACTGCACAATCGCTGTGCCTCATGTTCATCGGACTATTTAAAGTCCTAACTTTAGGTTATAAGTCAAATTTCTATTCCAGAATTTTCTGGTTATCACTAGGAATTATAGGAGTTAACAAGATGATAACAATACTTAAAATTTAAATTGTGATTTGAATTTTCAGATATAACATAGATTTTAGATAAATAGATAGCTCGATATATTAAAAAGTAAGATAATTTTGGAAATAAAGAAAAAACTAATGCAAGATAATGATTTTATAGCAATTCAGGAAAACAATAATGTTTCAAAATGAAAATGGTAAGTGTATTAAACGAACATTATTTTGACATTGTACAACGCATACGATCAGTATACAATGATAATAACAATGTGCATTGCACGCGGCAATGAATTAAAACAATAATGTCTATTTATTAAATAAAATGACATTTAAACGAAATCGATAATGGGAATAAACGATAATGGCACTTGAAATGACAATTTACAATGAAACTGCAATGAAGAAAACGATTATGGCAATAAACAAAAATGATTTTTATGGCCTTACATCAATATTTAAGCATCTATTAAAGTATAAATATGCACTTGTATGAAGTGCATACATACTTACTGCAAAAACCAACTCAGAACATAAATACAAATTGTTAAAAATGCAGTTTTATAAAACTAAATATTCTTATTATACATCATACAGCTGCGCTGCCATCTCTTGTATGCCGAGTCATTAGCGCCTGATCCAATCAGGGTTCAGTCATGTGTTTGTTGTCTATTCTGAACCAATAGAAATAGTATGGCGGTAACATCTATCTTTCTATCTATCTTATTATCCAATCAGAAATAAATCCTTCAATCGGCGCTATACCCTAAATGTAGATATTTAATTCTACTGAAACAAGAGTGGCTTAGCACACAAGCTAAAACAGTTTTGATGCAGAGCACTATCTTTTTTTTTGCCTTACAGAAGGTAACAAAGATAACTGCAAACTGGACAAAAAAGAAATTCAAATTCATGCAGGATTACTGGTACAGCTTTGTGACCTCGTATCTCCTCTAGTTTGGATTTTAACCCTACACAGACGGGTAAAATCAGAATTTTTAATTTTTTCAAAAATCGAAATAATTTTTCTTCAAAATTGGATTGGCACTTAAGCTATTATCAAGATATATTCTAATAATCAATGTTTTACTAAAAACAGATGTATACATGTTTAGAGTTTCCGGGAAAAGCTAACAATTTATGGTTTCTTTGATATGCCTGGATAATTCCATATCTTTCATTTTAGTCTTTAATAACAGAAAAATTGCTTTGCCGCCATTTGCATGCAAACATTCAAATATTGAACAGTTAAAAAACTGTGAGAATTAATGTTGATGAAATACAGTTTTTAGGATTTTAAAATTCAAGGAACCCTTTCCCAGAAGGTGTATTGGCTTCATCAAACTTGTAATTCGTCGGTCGCCATTTAATCATATTTTAAAAATTTCCACATTAACAGATCTGAGGAACCAGAGTTGAAACTAGGGGATGGTGGGGGGCGGGGTTGCTCTCCCAAGAGATTACTAACATTGAAAATAGTATGAAATAGTGCAAAAATATTTAAAATTTAAATATTTTAAATTCTAAAAATGAATCTGCGTGCTTTGGAAAATCCCTAATTTCATACCACTATAATTCACAGCCTTCCCCTCCCCCCACCCTCTTCAAAAATAAACTAGTTGTGCCACTGGAACACTTTTGATCTATATAGGTTATGTACTATGTGCAGTTTAATATTTTTTATGTTTCTAAAAAGAAACAAATGTGAATAACTTGAGTGGGGGAAATTTTAAGAAAATTAAATTAGATTTATCTCGAGAAAAAAAAATTACTTACCTATTACTTTATTTGCTAATCCATATATATATCTATTATCAACTTTATCAAATTTATAAACCTTGAATGACAATAAAAAGAAGGTTACTTTCTCATGATTATCATTGGAAAAAGCTAAAATTAGCATTAGAAAAAAGTTTTCCAAATTAAAACAAGTATCAAAACATACGAAGAAAATGGTTTACCGAATATTAAAACTGCGTACAATACTTGCTGCTGAACCTAGAATTGGACGTGTTCAGCATTTTTTAAATTTTGTTTGTTCATCGTTCGTGAACGACCCATTTCGTGCAGTTTTTTGAGTCGTTCAAAAAAAATTTGATTTCGTTTTTATCGAAATGATCATTCATTTTCTAACTATTTCATTCGTTTTCTCACTGAACGATCGTTCAGTTTAGAACCGATGGTTTTTTCAAAAGTTTGTTTGAAAAATTGTTTTGTTCGTAAAAGACGATAGTTTTTACTGATCAAAAGTTTGGTAAAAAATATTGTTCGTACAGGGGAACAACGCTCCTTTCAATTTTTTTTTGGAAAATTTCTGTGTTCAGTGAAAAAACGATGGGTTTTCAAGTTCAGGTTTTTAAATTGTTCGTTTTATTTTTTATTTCTCTAAACGAAACCATTTTACATAAAAAAATTCGGTTTTTCTAAAAAAAATTCTTTCGCACACAAAAACTATGACCATCTCTAGCTGGACCGAGCGTAGATCGTGTACTTCAATTTTACATGAGGTGCCCCCAGCAGTAATTTACAATTACAAACTTTTAACATTTAGATGAACAAAATGGAGATTTTCATTTTATTTCGCGCAATTTTTACAGATTAGGTCGGGGTTAGGGGGATCATTAGATCCGAGCCTGGTCAAAATTCAAGTCCAGTGCATGCAAATCAATTTTTTAAAGGGGGGGGGAAGGGTACACATTACAATATTGTTTGGAAATTATTGAAAATAAAACATTCCCATAAAACCATTAGACAGCAAGACGACTGTCGGACTCAAGGTATGATTTTGAATAGTCCAATTAACATGAAATACAGCAATTGTGCAGTGTTCACAGACCCATCTTTACTTTAGAAGTTGCATGTGACTAATGGTAAACCTATTTGCTTCATGTATAACAATAAAAATTGCATAAAGGTCTTCTTTTTTTTCACAGTTTTTGGGTCCTTTTGTATAATAAGCAATTTTTATTTGTGTTCATGAGCTTTATAATTGAATTTTGATCAAGCGTTATTTCTGAAAACATGCAAAATCGAATGTAAAGACCCNCAAAACCTATGTAATATCTGTACAAAAAGTATGAAAATAAAATAAATTCTTTTCATTTAAATCCACGTTTTATTATTGAATATAAATAACTCAATTGCATACATCATACATACTATATATTATATTTTTATCTATGCGCACCCCTTTGCACACTTTAAACTAAATTAAACTCTGTACATTTAGTATAAATATGAGCAAAATAAAATTTAACAAAATTACTTTCTGATCTGTACATTTAGCATAAACATCCTTTATGATCTGTACATTTGGCATAAACATCCTTTATGATCTGTACATTTAGCATAAACATCCTTTATA